TCCCTCCCACCCCTCCCTTCCCCCTCTTTTTGTTTTTTGTTTTAATAATAATAATAATAATAATAACAGAAATAAAAGAAATAGAAGAAAAAAAATTTTTATGTTATTTAAAAAAAAAATTAAAATTAATGAAGAAAATTTTTTTTTTTTATTTATAATAAATTAATATTGAAGATGACCGGATGTGACGATGGATGTGACAGGATGATAACACTTGATAACACATTTATTATTATTATTATTATTATTATTGGAAAATTCATTTAAATCGATGTATTGACACCCTCGATTAATTTTCAAAATAAAATTCTTCACACACATGTATATGAGAGGATATAGATCCACTTAAAAAATAATTTCTCTCTCTCTCTCTCTCTTGATTCATTAAAAAACAAAAAAAAAAATTTTAAATTACAAAACAAACAAACAAACAAACAACCAGAATTTTTTTTTTTTTTAAACTGTAGTAATTAAAAAAAAATATCATTCATTCATTTTATTTATTTATTTATTTATTTAAATAACTTTTTTTTTTTAACTTTATCAACAAACGGTATTAAAAACAAACAAACAAACAAACAAACAAACAAAAAAAAAAATATTTATGAATTTTATCTCCTCATATAATTATTTTACTTTCACTTTTTTTTATATTTTTTTACTTGGTCGGCCTTGTTAAGATTTCGTAAATAATTGTTAGAAATTAATAAATACATAGATATTTATTAACTTATTTATTTTTTTTTTTATTCAGTTTAAATAATTTTAAGGTCATCCGGTATTGTTCAATGGTTTTACATATGTATTCTTTGGTAGGTGCACTTTGGCAAATTTATTGTAAAAACTAAAGAGAGAGAGGAAAAAACTAAAACTAAAGAAAGAGAGAGAGAGAGAGAGAAAATTAATATAAATTTACAATATTTAAAATAATTTCAAGGTTAATATATATATTTATTTCAAAAAATTTATTTTTATTTTTATTTTTATTTTTATTCCCAGTCAGTTTGTATTTTCTATGGTATGACGGCGAATGTTAAATTTTTTTTTACAAAAAAAAAATTAATAAATAAAAAATTTGTTTTTATTATTTAATTTACACCGTGATAATAATAATAATAATAATAGTAATAATATTAATATTAATTTAGAAGAAAAAAATAATAATAATTTAAATCGGGTTAAAAAAATTATTTTTTTTTTTTTTTAAGGTAATAATTTTTGTTTTTTCTTTTTTTTTTTTAAATTTTTAACGATTTGTGTCAAATTTTAAATATTATTATTATTATTATTATTAATATTATTAATATTTATTCATTTTGTATTTTACCGTTTGTTTGTTTGTTCGTTTGTATTTTTAAAATAAAATTTAAAATTATTTAAATTATTTAAATTGTTTTTGTGTAATACACATTTTTTAGTTATTTGTATTTTACTATCGAGTGAGTTTATTAATTTTTTATTTATTTATTTATTTATTATTATTATTATTATTACTATTATTATTATTATTATTATTATTTAAAAAAAAATAATTTTTCTTCTTTTTTTTTAGTTTTTATAATTTTTTTTTTTTACAAATTTTTATTTATAGAAGAAACGAAAAAAAAAAAAAAAATTTAATTTTCTTACCGAGGTATTTAAATGTAATAATAATAATAATTCACTTTGAACTTTATCTCAACGTGATTTTTAATAACAACTTTTTTTTTTTTTTTTTTCGCTTATTATTATTATTATTATTTTAAAATAATTGAAAATTAAACGTTTTTTTCGCTTTTTTTTTTTTTATAACAAAAACTATTTTTTTTAACTTTAAAAAAAAAAAAAAATGTGCATAAAATTATAATTTATTTTTTTTTTTGCCCCCCGCAAACATAAAAAAAAAAAAACACGATTATTATGTTTTTGTTTAAATATTTTCCTTATATTTTCTTCTAATAATAACTATAAAAAGATAATTATTATATTTGTTTGTTTGTTTGCAATTTATCTTTATTAGTTCGTGACGTAAATTAAGTAAAACATTAAAGAAAATTTTAATTTTTTGTTTTTGTTGCAGAAAAATTTATCGAAAATTAAACAGGAAGTGAGAACCTGATAAAGGGAAAGGTTCGAGAGAAAAAAAAAAGAAAAAATGACAAAAAATCGTAAAAAAAGGCCCAAACAGGTCAAAAATACAGAAGAAAGAGAAACATGGGGTAAAAAAGTTGATTTTTTACTTTCCGTCATTGGTTTTGCCGTTGATTTGGCCAACGTTTGGAGATTTCCTTACCTTTGTTATAAAAATGGCGGGGGTGAGT